AAATATTTAATGATTTGATGATTTAGTAATGATTTGATAATAATCATTATAGTAATGATTTAGTAATAATCATTATAAAAATGATTTAATAATGATTTAAATATTTAATGATTTGATGATTTAGTAATGATTTGATAATAATCATTATAATAATGATTTTATAATAATTATTATGTTATTATTTAGTAATTATTTATAATAATGATTTAATAATTATTACTAATAATTATAGAATACTAACAAAGTAGTGTACAAGTGTGGATTACTGAGTTTAAATTTATACATAGTCGAATTTATTAATGATTTTTAAATATTTAATGATTTGATACTAATGATTTACTAATTATTACTAATGATTTAATACTAATTATTTGATACTAGTAATTATTTGATACTAAACATCATTGTTAAGGTTAAAAAAAGTAGTCTAATTTCAATAAATAATTTGTAATAAATAGCAAACGAGTTTACAATTGTTGTCGATGTCGGGGTGTTGTTGAATGATAATGTCGGGGCGGACGTCTGATACGTTGTGGCCGTTGTGGCTCAGGAGTATTGTACTCATCCCCCTCATTCAGTGGGGGTATTTGAACTGTCATGTGTTCAAAGTCATACGTCGACGAAAACGTAGGAGAATAGATGGGTGCCTCAGGCTGCACAAACTCTGGTATGTATGCCGGGCCAGTAGAGTCATCAACTGCGTGATGCAACGATTGTGGTGCGCTATTATCCACATCGGTCATTTCCGCTTCAGTTTGTAGAGATGAACTCCCACTCCCACTCGGTAGAGAGTATTCAGCTTTACCAAATCTTTTCTTAAACCTCAAAAATTGTCGCCTCTCTACTATTGTTGTGAGGAACGGCTTTCCATTATCCAAAAAATAAGCAAGGTAAGCCGAAGTCTCAAAATTAAAGTCGTCGTCTTGAATGGCGTCAAGAGTTGGCATGAATGAAGCCCTATTGTTCCAAGCATTAATGTAGGTTGCATGCTTCTCAACCCAATTAACGCTTTCTTTACGACGACCATCAAATCTGTGCAGGTCGTCATGCGTCTCAACCCAATTCACTGGACGACGACCATCTAAGTTTTGGAGGAGGTCATGATCCCATGGACTCCGCGGAATAGGTTGGTGGAAGTGGAATTGCCTCAGCACTCTATCCCCAAATTGGATCTCAACAAAAGCAAAATTGATCAATGGTGTAACAGCACACCAATATTGAAACCCATCTAAAATATCGTGCGGTATCAACGCAAATAATTCTTCATTCATGTATGGTCTCCAATTAAACTGTAAAATTACAAAAACAATAAAATTTATTTAAATTAGATAATATAGTTAATTAAAATAATAATTAAAAAATACAAATTATGCATACCTCCTTTTTGGCCTTAATGTCTATCTTCAACCTGAACTCTTTAATGTTGTTGTGCACCAACCCTGTGCCTTCAATTTTATGCCTCTATCTGTATATCAATCAAAACAAAAATAGAGACATTTTGTTCAATAATTTTAATCAAAATAAATATTTTTAATTAATATTTTATATTAAAATAGAGGATTCATATTACCGTCCGGCAAGTGGAAAGTCAACCGCAGTCCGACTAATCGGTGTCAGAAACGGAAGTCTATGCCAAGCCCATGATTGTAGAAGCAACAGACATCCACCGATTTCTACTGTATTATTATCATTCACGACTAATGACGCCTTGCACATCTCACGATACAAGAACGCCAATATCGCCGAACCCCAGCTATATTGCCTACAATTCTCAAAATTTGTTAAAAAAAGAAGATACTGAGTGTGAACATAACTACCGGATTTATCAGGCATCAAAATTCCCCCAATCAATTGTAATATATATGCTCGTGTTGCATATATAATTTCGTGCTCCGTACTATTTGATTGAAGTTGAAATTCATTCTTCAACCATGACAACCTCACCCGCCACCCTTTACACTCTGGTGGTACGGGCGCTTTCCCAAGAAACAAGTTGCAAAGTTGTTCCACCTTATTAAACTCATGTGACATTACCACCGGCATCCCATTAGTTTGGACCCCGAGTTGCATTGCCACATCCTCCAAAGTTATCGTGCATTCGCCACACGGCAAATGAAACGTGTGCGTTTCTGGTCTCCAGCGTTCAATCAACGCACTGATAAAACCTGGGACCAACTTGTAATCTCGCACAAATGTGACATACCAAAATCCAGCCTCTTGCAAATTTTCTTCTATTAGTGGGTGTGGCTTGGGCACTTTATGTAGTCGAAGACGAAGGACTCGCTGCTCGTCCTCCTACAATTAAATATTTCAAAAAAATTATCACAATCATAAAATAATATTCAAATATTTATTAATTATAATTCATTAAACAAATATTTTATTCACCATTATTCCCAAATGACTTGAAATATGTTCATTGTCAAGCCTCAACAGTGGAATTTGGTCAGCCATTGGAATGAATCTGTAAAAAAAATTAAACAACAATATTTAAAAAATCATTTAATATAATCTAATATAAACTAACTAACTAATTTACAACACTAAACTTTAATATAATAACTTATAATATAATAAACTAATAAACTAACAAACTAAACTTTTTAAAATATAAACGTAAACACCAAACCCTTAAACAACTAATAAAATATTTTTTTATATAACTAAAACTAACTAATAAACTATTTTTTCATTATAATATACTACTAATAAACTTACTAACTAAAACTAACTAATAAACTAACTAATTTTTTATATAATATATATTCAACAAACAAATATAACTTAACTATTTAACTAACAAAAACTAATTAAATAATTTTTTTTATATAACTAACTATTAACAAAACAAACTAATTAATTATTTTTTAACTATATAACTATCAAACATATACTAATTAAATAATTTTTAATTTATGTATACTATAACTTAAACTAACAATCATATAACCCTAAACTAATAAACTAATTAACATTTATAATAATAAACTAATTTAAATATAAACAAATTTACCTTATCTCCCTTTCTTCTTCTTACTTTCCTTTCTTTCTCCCTTTCTTTCTTTCTCGGCTGAATCTCTTCTCCCTTTCTTTCTTTCTTTTATGTGTGATCTTTCTTCTTGCAATTTGCACACCCCATATATAACCGGCTGCCTCAATTATTTCACCAACAATGGTTCAATTATTGTTCATGCATGGTCTCGTCTCGTGAGCTAGGATCACATGGCATGCTGTAGGCATGCAGCGGGGAGCAGGAGCACGTGAAGTTATCTTGGCATGCATGCAGGCATGCAGCGGGAGCAGGAGCACGTGAAGTTATTTGGCTGCATGTGCATGCATGGTCTCGGGAGGCAGTGGACGCCGGGGCGACCTACAAGGTCGCCGGGACTACATGGCGACCTACAAGGTCGCCGGGACTACATGGCGACCTACAAGGTCGCCCAGACTGCATGGCGACCTCTCTATTGGCTGGCTCGTTTGCATGGCGACCTCTCCGTTGGCTGGCTCGTCTGCATGGTGAGTATATGGCTTGTATGGCTCGTCTGCATGGGTATGGCTCGTCTGCATGGTGAGTATATGGCTTGTATGGCTCGTATGTCACTCGTATGTCTCCCGTATGTCGCCTGGATTGCATGGCGTCCTACAAGGTCGCCTGGATTGCATGGCGTCCTACGAGATCACTGTAGAATTCACCCCATACCAGCAATTAATCTGAAATGTGCATTATATCGTGAATAAAAAAAATCGAGAACATTATCTCGTGAATTCACCCATATATTACATATTTATTATTATCTTTGGTTAATATTGTTAAATTTAAATTCTAAATATTATTTTATAAAATATCAAAACAATCAAATAATTTTTTGTGTAAATGAAATTCTTAAATTAATATTATTGGTAGAAAACATAAAACACTATTAAAAAAAATTGAAACATAAATTACATAACTTTAAAAAAAGTATCGATCTTTTTTATAAAAAAGTATGGACACTTTCAACATATTATAATGTAATAGGTAAATTTGCAATGCTATCGGTATAAATTTACCGGTTTACTTATAAAATAGGTAAATATAATCGCTACCTATTACATTATATAAGCACTACCTAGTATGTTATTGTACTTTATAATATTTCCGGTTAAATAATATAACATAATCGGTCTAAATTTTAACAGATCACTTGTTTAACCAGTCACACCGTATATTAACCGTTTTTTAGGCGCCGCACCGCAAAACCCAATAATTGTAGCAAATAAAGTGTGAGGTTGTTATGGGATTTCGTTAGAGTGGGTGGGCTTGTACTTGATGCGATGGCTGTTGGCCTCAAATCATTAAGTTATAGACTAAGAGTAAAGTGGATTTGGGATGTGAAGTCACACCCTCCATCAACTACCATTGCTGCCATAATCATCGACTTCCTTGCTATTCCCCACGACTGACATGCCTGGATATCATAAACAAATAATGTTGGACACGTGGTCATAGACAACGCAGAGCAGAGCACGTTTAATTATAACAAAGTATAAAAGAATTCATGAAATGATTGAATCATATAAAAATTTAAACAGAATGCAAAGATTAAGTTGATTAATTCTGCATATATTAAACATATAGTTTAAATATTAAATTTTTAACCATTAGAGTTAACATAATGTGATACTAATAGTTTAAGGACTGCTATGAAATACTTTAAATTTAGGTATTAATTTAAAACGACAGTTAGATTAATTTATCTTTTATTAAAATACGTTAACAACCGGACGTTTTTTTCCTCGCATCGTAAAATACTCCAACGGCCATCCTCTTAGACTGTCATATTAAATGCATTCCATTTCCATTCGACATACATGCTCCTCTCCCTACCTCGGTTTCATATATAATCTCGATAAACAGCCCCGTAAAACCCCTGCTTCTTTGCAGTTTGAATCTCTCTCCAACCAACAAGATATTGAATTTGCATTTCTGTTCACCACCTTCCTCTTCTTCGTTGAAAACATCTATACACCACACGAGCTTTGTCTTTTTTTTTTTCTCAACGTCTTCCTCAAAATGAAGCTTTATTGGGTTTGGGTTGTTATACCCTTTCTTCTTCTTCAAGTAGTTAATGGGATCTTAGGTTTTAACGAAACAGAGCTATCTTTTATTGAGGCCTACGACTATGGAATCTCCAAACTTAATCACAATCCTCTCATGGTTGGATTGACTCTCATTACAAGTGCTGCAGCTAAAGGAGCAGGTACATTGCATTGCTGTATATCTCGTCGCTTTCAACTGCTATATCTGCTCATTCTTTATATTTTACTTCCAGTTCAGATTGCTGGGTTTTGATTTTTGATTTTTTACCATTCAAATCTGGGTTTCATAATTATGTAACAGCTTTCAGTCATTCTGTTAATTGAAGTTTGCTTCTGCTTCATTTTCATCACATCACTAAATTTCATATATGTATATAGTACATACATAGATATACACTTCTAAAAAAAAGAATTTGTTTAGGAATCTATAAATGAAAAATTAATAGAACTACATTGACGTAGAAAAGATCAACGTGTTTAATATTGATTTCCTATGTAAATGAGAATAATAATAATCGACTATAAAATAGAGATTATGGAATATATTACAATTCTTATTTGTACCAAAACCTGAAATATCTCAAATTACTCTCTATGTAGAGTCAAATACTTGATCACCAAAAATCTTTATTTAATAAGAATTCTAATTAAATAAATTTAATCACCAATAAATTATAACAAAATCTAATTTAATTTCTAATCAGAATTTAGGTCAACATTTAACGGAATCAACAAAGAAATATTAATTTAATTAATTAGAAAGTACAATTCCATAAGTTACCTGCTTCTGTTATTCAATTGTGCAGTCTGCCTGGATGGAACTTTGCCTGGTTATCATTGGCATCGTGGATATGGATCAGGAGCTAATAGCTGGTTGATTCAATTGGAGGTATGTCCCTCTAAAATGTTATGCCCTTTCATTGTTATATGTGTGTTTTTTCTTATAGTGCTGACAATGTAAGTCCAATTGATCCTTTTAGATAGAAGTATGGACTCTTGGTGCCTGCAAAAACTTTACTTTGCCAATTATCTTGTGGCAGGGAGGAGGATGGTGCAATAACATTAGAATTTGTGTCTACCGCAAAAAGACACGACGCGGATCATCGACGTACATGGAAAAGCAGATACCGTTTACCGGAATATTGAGTGAAAAAGCTGAAGAAAATCCTGGTCTCCACTTAAGCAACACTCAGAAAATAGATTCACCATTCTTGATCAAACATCTTATCCAATTTCGTACTTAAAATTGCAGACTTTTTCAATTGGAACAGAGTAAAGCTTCGTTACTGTGATGGTGCCTCTTTTACTGGGGACAGTGAAAATAAGGTAAGCCAATTTCTTGCATTTGCTTTCACCCATAGAATGCTAATTCCTAGGACTTTAGCTATTGTTTCCACGTAATTCAAATATTGACTCTATATTTGGAGAGTTATCTTTGAATATCTTCTTCCATATTATGTGTTTAGGCTGCTCAACTGCAATTTAGAGGCCAACGTATATGGTTAGCTGCAATGGAAGATTTAATGTCAAAAGGAATGCGCAACGCGAAGCAAGCTCTTCTTTCTGGGTGTTCTGCAGGGGGTCTGGCATCAATTTTGCACTGTGATGAGTTCAGGAACATGTTCCCGACAACAAGTAAAGTTAAGTGTCTGAGTGATGCCGGTCTATTCCTTGATGCGTAAGTATCATTATCCTTCAAGATCTTGCTTTAAGCCCTGGTAAGACTTAGATTGTTCTTTTTGTTCTTAATACATTTTCTTTATATCCTCTCTGGACTGTAGGATTGATGTGTCAGGTGGTCACACACTTAGGAGTATATACAGCGGCGTGGTGGGCTTGCAGGTTTGATATTGATATTTGTATTGCATGCATGTGGATGGAATTAGATAATACTTAAGCCTTCCAGTTGCTGCAGGGAGTGCGACATAACTTGCCACGCATGTGCAATGTCCACCACGATCCAACTTCGGTATGTCTCTTCCCTTGATTTCTTTCATGTGAATTTGTCAAATATATTCTCTTGCTCGATCTACACTGCATTCACTTGACTGAAATTCCTTTCAGTGTTTCTTTCCTCAAAACCTGATCAGCAATGTGCATACGCCACTGTTTATTCTCAATGCAGCCTATGATTCTTGGCAGGTAATATCCTTGACTCGAGATTAGCTTTGTTGGAAATTTGCAGACATGATTAACAAAATAGATGAACGGATTTGTTCCTTCCTTGATATCAGATCCAATCCAGTATAGCTCCACCATCGGCCGATCCACTTGGTCTTTGGCATGATTGCAGATTGAACCATGCAAAATGTTCTGCATCCCAGATTAGGTTTTTACAAGGTGATAAACCTATACGTGAAATTGCTTGAGCCTCGATATACAACATTTAGTCATCTTAAGCAACTCTCTGTTTCGATGAATCAGGCTTCCGGATACAGATGCTTAATGCAATCAAAGGGTTCTCGATGTCTAGACAGAACGGATTATTTATAAATTCATGTTTTGCTCACTGCCAAACCGAAAGGCAAGACACATGGTTTGCTGGTAATTCTCCTAGAATTAGAAACAAGGTATGTCTAATTCATATTAGATTTCAATAAGTTTATGTCGTCTGCACTTTGTACATCATACTTCAAATTAATTTCCTATTGTTGCTTATGAGACTTTTTAGTTAGTTTGACATGTGATGGATTATGGATAATATGGCAGGCAATTGCAACGGCTGTTGGAGATTGGTATTTTGACAGAGCAGGCGTGAAGGTCATCGACTGCCCGTACCCTTGTGACAACAGTTGTCACAATCTGATTTTCAGCTGAGCCAATTATGCATATTATTAGGTGGTTGGTTTGTATACATATACGCGATATTTGTGGTCACATTTAGTTATTTGAAGCATCCTGCAATCCAATGAAATGGGATAGCGAGACAATAAATAGAGAAGGTTGCTGAAAAATGCAGTAAGCAAATCGTTTTGGAATTCAATTTTATTCCCACTCTGCAGAACAAGGTGAGAAACCTTATTCTGATGATTGAATCCAATCCAAATGCAGACTAAGTTTCAGAACGGATGCCATAACTCATGTAATGGGGTAATATATATGTTTACATACATATATAGTTTTTTATACTTTGCATTGCAATGGTAATACTTTGAAGATCCAAGGAAGGCATGGAAAGAACCAAAATTTCTGAATAATAAATACCATGTTTCTAACTACAAACCTTATTTTAGGCCAATCACCAATAGTCTCCGCAGGAACACAAACCATTCCTGAAATGGTGAAACCGATTAACACCCCTTACAAAAATAACTCTCTTCAAAATTTCTGAAACAAGCTTCATAACTGTATGACAATCACCACAAGTCCTTAGATTTTTTTCCTAATTGGATCCTCGGCAGGGAGTGCCAGCAACCCAAATGCAAGTGTAATTTTCTAACTATGAGACCACAAGCTCTCCTCCTTAAACTCTTCAGCACTATTAATAGCAAACTGTTTTTGAGGCACATATCCTTTGTTCTTCACCATCTTATTCACCTTTTTCATCATCTCATAAATTTCATCCGTTCTGGCATGCGATTTATCATGCACTGTAAACACAAATGTCCTATTCTTAACATCAATCCAACTACAGCCAGGTTCTTTTCTTACCCTATTGACACCCATCAATTTTCAAACTTGGTCGGCTTCCCCCAACTTCCTTTTTTGTGCATACATGTTGGAAAGGAGAACATAGTTACCTGGGTTATGAGGCTCCAACTCGAACAGTCTCCCTGCAACTTCAATTCCCATTTCAAGATTGCCGTAATTAGCACAAGCACCGAGCAATTCTCCCCAAACAGATGTGTTAGGTTTGATCGGCATTTGTGCTATAAACCTCCTAGCTTTATCTAGCTGACCTGAACGACCCAGTAAGTCAACCATGCAGGCATAGTGTTCATGGCCAGGGATTATAGCGTGCACCTTTTCTATAGAGTTGAAGTAAGCATGCCCCTCTTCAATACGCCCTGTTAGACCAAAAGCTGATAAGACACAAACAAAGGTGATATAATTAGGTTTTAAGCCATTTGCAAGCATTTTCTCAAACAACTGGATTGCATGGTTTCCATTCCCATGTTGTTGGCAAGCAGCAATCATTGCCGTCCAACAAACCAATTCTCAATCTCTTCAAAGACTCGACAAGAATCATCCAAGCTCCCACATTTTGCATACATTGTGATCAACGAACTAGCAATGCTCGTATTTGTAGAAAACCCGGATTTTATAATCTGATTGTGGATTAAAGTCCCTTGATCCAGTGCAGCAAGATGAGTAGATGCATGAAGGGCTGTCGAGTATGACGCCTCATCCGGCGATAAACATGTCCTTTTCATGATCCATAAATAATTGCAAGCTTCCTCAAAGTTTTCATTATAAACACACCCCATCAACACAACGTTCCATGGAATAACATCTCTACCTTCTATACCTATAGAATTAAACAGAGCACCTTCATCAAACAAACCGCATTTAAAGTACATGTTCATGAGCGAATTCTTCACATAGGACATGGTAAGTAAACCTTGTTTAACCCCCCCCCCCCACCATGCTCTTGTTTCCCGAATTCCAGAGCCCCAACATTAGCGGACGCACTCAAGACGCTCGAGAAACTCACTTGATTAGGACGAAAGACACCCTCCCTTATAACCTCTCTAAACAGAAAATGCGCATTGACATGCAAGCCGTTTAACAAGCACCCAACGATCATCGAATTCCAAGAAACAGCATTCCTTTCAGGCAAACCGACAAATACCTTTTCTGCCATGTCCATATCGCGACATTTAGCATACATATTAACCAACGCGCTGCCAACTAACACAAAACTTTCATACCCCTGCTTGGAAATCAAGCAATGAATCTGCTGGCCATGAAGGAGAACGGAGGTGCTAGCGCAAGCAGACAAAACAGCGGAGAAGGTATAGTGGTTGGGGAACAGACAGGCGGTACGCATTTCGTTGAGCGAGGAGAGGGCCTGAAAGGGTGCGGCGGAATAGGAAAGTAGGGAGATGAGAGAGGTCCATGAGACGACGGTTTTGGTTATTTGATGGGCGGTAGAGAAAAGGAGTAAGGAGAGAGAAGGTCGGCTGCAATTGGCGTATAAGGTGAAGAGGTTGTTGAAGAGGAAGGGAAGGGAAATGAAGGCGTTGGTGATGATATGGGAGTGGATTTGAATTTTGTGTTTGAGGCGTTTAGTTCGGGCGGTGGCGTTGAGGAGGTGATTCAGGTGAGTGGGTTCGAGGTGTCCGTTTGAGTCGTGAGGGTGGAGATGTGCCATTATATTGTTCTCAATCTCATGACTCCAACCTCAGTTTAACTTTAACGCGTGGTTTTGTGTCTGAGTGAGTCGTGAGGGTGCAAATGTGGCGGGACTTTATTATTGTTTGATACTAGTTTAAATTACGTATTTAGTAACTCACCCGTAATTTTCATTGTTTTATAATTATTAAAGGCTTAAATATATAAAAGGGGTCCAACATATACCTAATTTTCTAATTTAATGCTTAATGTTTAGTTCGTTCCAGTTTGATGTCTAACGTTTTATTCCGTGATTCAAAATGGGTCTAGCCGTGGACCGTTAAGTTTGACCGTTAACCATTAAAAATGCCACTTGACATGCTTTTTTAGGATAAAATATATAAATATTCACAAAACTTTTAGGCCGCTTGCATTTTGCTATATTCTAAACAATTTCAAATGGACTTTTCAAAGTTTTCACGGTTACGTTCCGAAGAAATGATCGACGGGGATGGATGCTTCATTGCTTAGTTGGTAGAAGCACTACTGATCCCATGAGCAATGATTGTTGTTCTATATATGATCTCTTAAATAAATCACTCTTGGACCTGGTGGCTAAGGTTCATTATTGTTTTTCTGCACTTGGTGCTATATATTGTTCGTGTGATGCTAGTGAATGACACTCATCCATTTGATTTGCAGGGGTTGGTGCAAGAATCTGATGTGGATTCATTCAATGTGCCTTATTATACCCCTAAAGAACAAGAAGTGAGGGAGATCATCAAAGAGGAAGGATCGTTCAATCTCGATAAGATAGAAGTGTTTGAAGTGAACTGGGATTTTGAAGACGATTATGGCAACCAAAGTTATGTGTTTGAAAAGAATAAAAGCGGGCAAATGTTGCAAAAACCGTTAGAGCAGCTTATGAATCTATGCTTGCTACTCAATTCGGAGAGGCCATAGTTGATGAACTGTTCACAAGATATGCACAACATATGGGTTTGCATTTGTCTCGCGAGAAGACAAAGTTCATTAATTTTGTGGTTTTAATGAGCATGTAATAGTTGGTTATATATAAGTAGAGTCGGATGTGGTTTAGGGTTCAGGGTGCTTGCATTTTAGGGCGCTTCATTTTGGTCACCTACTCCTCTTCCTCCTTTATTATTATTTAAGGATGAGGAGGAGGAGTAGGTGACAAAAATGCAAGCGCCCTAAAAGTTTGGGGACTATTTATATATTTTACTCTAAAAAATATATCAAGTGACATTTTTAATGGGTTAACTGTCAAACTTAATGGTCCATCACGGCTGAACCTATTTTGAGTCACGGAATGAAACGTTAGGAATCAAACTGAAATGAAAGCACTAAACTGGAAAAACGAGCATAGGTTGAGCACATTTTGTATATTTAAGTCTATTATTAAATTATATTTTTTAAAATATATTTAATGTTATATTTTGATTTTATTTTAATCACATATCATTAAAAAAATAATTGTGATATCAATGTGACATGGCATAATAATAATTTTAGTCCTCAAAATCTTACACATTTTATTTTTTACTCGTAATATTTGGGGGCATAATAATAAAATTAGCCCCCAACGTTTACTTAAATTATCACTATGACCTATATACTTCTTTTAGTATTTTAACCCCTAACGTTTTTGTTTCTGTTAAAAATAACACATATTGGATGAAAATGGCTAGTTGATTAACGATCAATGTATGTTGGTGATATAATATTTTTATATGTGTTTAATTGGTGATGCATCACATCACATGTCACCAAAGTATTGATGTGATATGTATCATATTATCTAAAGTTGTGATGTGACATGTGACATGTTACCCAAAGTGATAATATGAAAATGTCAACATTAGCATGGATTGGACGTTACTCAACTAACGATCTTCATTCAATATAAACTATTTTAATTAAAAATTAAAATTCTAAGGATAAATACTTTGAAAAGAATAAAAATTAAAGTGACTAATTAAATAAATGTTAAGGACTAATTTTGTCATTACGCTATTATGGGGTTTAAGTTTGTCTTACAAAATTACACATTCTTTTTTACCGCATTTTGGGTTTTCAATTTTAGCCTTTAGTATCAATTTAGGATTTCAATGGAGTTGTAGGTGTGAGAATTTAGTGTTTTAGTTTCGAATTTTAAAGGGATTTCAATTAGGGATGGGCATAAGACCCGTACCTGATCCGATCGGATCGAATTTTTAAAAAAAAATTGTGTGTTCAGGTTGGATCGGGTCGGGTTTTAAATTAAAATATTTAGGTTCTGGTCAGAGTCGGATTTAGGGTTATAAATACCCTATCCGACCAGACCCGAGTTTTTAATGTAATATTTTATTTAGTTTTTTTATGTATTTTTAGTTTCCCTTTGTAATCTTATCTCCTCGATCCAGGATTGTATGTGCAAAACAGTCTGAAACTCTTATCCTAATTCTTTTTGTCTCAAATTCTTACCCATTTCCTGCTCAAGATTAAATTTTACAATTTTTGATTCATTCTCAGCCATAAAAAAACCTCAATCTTTTTCACACTTTTATCGATTCTTCTTCTAGAGTCAATACCCAGTAATCGACAACAAGTCAACCAAAGCTTAAAAGTAGAAGAACTTCAATTTTTGGTAAGGTAAGTACTTCTTTTCATGATGTTTGGCTTTGTTGACTTTGTATATGTTATTTATCGAACATATAAACTACTATAGAGTTCGGAGAACAATTTTTCATCTTATTTTCGTGCTTTTCTTTTCTTTTGATTTTATATTATAATATTTGTTTA